TGATTTCCCACCCCTCTCTAGTCTCTTCTATCCCCTGTGGGGAACTTACTACAACCCTATATAATAGGCACTAGAACCACAGTCACCAGTGCAAGAAAATGTCTTTGAGATCATATTCCATCTGCCTACAGGGCTCTGATATAATCTCCCGATAAGAATATACCAGACATTAAGCTGATAGTACAGCTGGTCTTTTATCTAGTTTAGCAGGATTGGGACATGCAAACCAGAAGGGGAAGAGAGGTTTTTTTCTGAGCGCAGCAATGCATACTTTTTCAGAACAATTCAACCCTATTCAAAATCAGCACTCAATGCCTGTCTCAACCTAAAATTCAGCTGGATGATATAATAGCTTATTGTTTGATACAAGCACAGAACACTAAAGTGATAACATCTGTAAAACTAGAGGAGATTTTTGACATTTCTCCACTGAGAAATACATGTAAGAAAGTTGTCATTTACTGTCATATATAGATTATGACATTAAATACAATATTTATCACCTGTTGTACTGTAAGTATAACGTGCTATACATATACATATACATATACATATACATATACATATACATATACATATACATATACATATACATATGAGACCCCTCACATTATCTGAGTTTTTAGTTGTGGGAAAAAACGCAAAAATTTAGATTTATCTTTTTTTTGTTTTCTTCTTCTAACAAACTGGAAAAAATACCTGTTTTTCACTGGCAATTTCAGAGAAGGAGAGGTGGGGCAAAAATTAAAGCAGCTTTGAAATACATTTCATGATAGAGAAAAATTAGAATGCAGCAAGATCCTGAACTGCAGAAATGTTGGAGAAGCTGATATTATTTTTCATTCATTATCGCAAATGATTGTAGCCCCTTTTTGGCAGACTTAGGGTTTGCTCAGAGATGTTCAGTAAATAAATTATGACCCATGTTGATGAAAGGAAACATCAAGCAATTTAGTGAAAACTGTCTGTTTCCAAAAAAACCCCACAATATTTCAGGTACAGTGATAGCTTTTTTGAGGTGTTAACTTTATATGGCATTTAATGGGATGGCTTTAGAGTAAATGTGCCAGTTAGGGGCATTGCCATGAGCAATAGTAGGGGGAACACAACACTCATGTCTGTGGAGCATTAATACCCACTGTTTCTATTTCCTACTAAGCATCAAAGATGAGAGCTTACGTGCCTCTGGCTTCCTGTAGGAGCGAAAGGGAATTTTCTTTATTCACTTGATCAGGGGCAAAGTAGGCTGTTCGCCGTGAAAGATTTCTCATGTTGTCTGTGTCACTGATAGCCCTTAATGGAAATGCCACGATTGAGAGGAAATCAGCTGTAGCTAATGTTCACCACTGTGTTACTTTGATGAAATAATAAAAGTAATCAGTAAGAGCCAAAAGACAGGTAACAGGAGCACTTCTGTTTCCTCTTGGCTTGAGGTTGGTGGGGACTTTTTTGAAAAATGCACTATAAAAGAGTGAGAAGAGAGATTATGCACTAAAACACACTGCCACTGAGGTTAGCAGAAATTTTGGGGTTTGGTGTGAGCAGATCTGAGTAATGAATCTTCTGTTTCAGCCCCAGTTTGTGAACTGCCAGGTACCTGCAGGCTCCGTTGGGGTCAGTCTTGCAGTTCCTGAAAAACTGAATGGACACAGGATCAGGTCCTGGGTTCTTGTTTCATTCTATAGGGGATTTGCTAATGTTGCGGTCCAGTAAGCTCAGTTTTGATGCCAATGCATTTTATTTGACACTAAACTAAAGCAGCTGTTTTCAATCAGTACACATGAAAAGAACAATAACAAAAATGCAGCCTGCTCTTGCGGCTCTACGCATACTCGATGCAAAGAGTTCAGCAAGTTCTGGTGATTTTCCCTCCCTGTGCTCAAAACTAACCAAACAACTGATCTCGCTGAACTAAAAAACAGGGAAAAAAAGGATGTTTATCGTTCCCCAAATGTTTCTAATGGGCAGCAGCAACTGGTTGACGGAAGAAAAGCGTTTCTCCAGGTGGGTGTGCAGGCAGGGCTCTCCCTGCCGCAGAGCTGACCTAAGCACGAAGTGACAGGGAGTTACTGGGTGACGGGTGTTGCTGTGCTGGGACGGGATGAGGTAGTGAGCTGGTTTCGTACCAGGACTCAGATCCAGGGCAGCTGGCCCACCCTCCCATTGGGAACAGTGAACAAGGAGCTTGTAAAACACACAGACCAAATGGAAGTGACCCCTATTGACTGAAACCAGCTGCATGTCAGACCTCTCGCTGTCTCTCTTGATTTGCTGTCTCAAATAAATGGATGTGGTAGAAGGGGCTACAGAAAGAAAACAAAATAATTTATTCTCCTTGAAGTTGTGCCACACTAATAAGCCACAGTTTTTACAGCTGAAAAAAAAAATGTTTATTTGCAGATTAAGTTTTTCCCTCTTTTTTTTTGGCTTTGAAAGTCTGCAGTCTAGAATAAGATATGCTGTAGTTCAGTTTCAGAGGTCTTTGACAAATACAGCATTGCTAGATTTTGTTGGTTATTCATCACATAAAACTGCTGGCTAGTGAGAGCTTGGTTCTTTTGCATTTTAATTCAGAAAACAAAGTTATGACAGCTTTTGTTGGTGCTTTGGCTTAGATCTGTGTGGTGGCTCAGCCCGACGAAAAAGGTTGTAGCATGTTTTGAAGAAGAATGATATGCAGAATGACTGGACTTATTCATATGTTGCTTTCCGTATTTTTTCTAACACATCCCTGGGTAACACCAGTTATTCTGAGCATCGTGAAGAGCTGCTTGAAGGAACCAGGGTAGCACTTGAATTTGGAAATGTTAAGGATAACAGCTGCTCAGATCCTTCCTTTGTTACCCAGGGCAAGTTACTGCTACTGATATTAGATTGAGTTCTGTTCTGAGTTTAGAGGTAGGGAGGAGGTATTTAACCTTGCTGCCACAGTTGCCTTGATCTCTTTTTGAGCAGATTGGCAGGTTGTGACGCGTGCCATACTGCAGTCATGTTTTGATAGGCTTTCTTAAGGAAGCTTCTTAAAAGTCATCAGTCTAGCTTTCCTTCACGTAAACTGAGGCACTGATGTGTTTTGCAAAAGTGGGGGGTTTTTTTAAGTCTTTTTCAGCCAAGTGATAGTGAAATAAGGCACCAAGTTTGGACTAATGGAACTCTTAGAGCGTCTCAGTGGAATGACTTTCATGAAGTCTGCAAAAACCCATGAGATACAAAAATTGGAGGATGACACTTTGAATTGATCCCTTTACTTATTTTTGTCTACCACAACCTTTTTTTTTTCTCTAATATTTTTCATTTTTTTTTCTCCTTAACAATTTGTTTATTCCTCACTCCCAAATGCACAAACACAATAGGGTAGAAGCTTTGAACATAGGAGCCTTCACCTGTGGCCTTGCAGTGGAGTTGCACAGACTGATGTTATTTCAATATAAAGTAGTTTGAAAATCCAGCATATAGGTTCTGAGTGCCCTGGCAGTCACTCTCTGCTTTAAAGATAAAATCAAAATGCAGCTCAATTTCGTTATTGCTCCTTCACTGGCAGATTTTAGCCACGTTGGCTTGTAGGATCTTCTGACCAGTGTCTGTGGCACACAGATATTGCCATGGGGAAAGGCACACTTCTCTTCCTCATACCACTGTTGTGTCTTGCTGGCTGTCCTATAGGTGTCATCTCTTACTGATGAGCTCTGTGCTACTGATTTACGTCTTCTGGCTGGTTAATGAATGATGAACCTTAATGAATGATGGGTTATTTAGATCAGGCTAGTCTGGCATCGAGTGATACCATGCTACTTCTTCCTTCCACTTTTATCATTTTCTGCTGACTAATTACTTGTGTTAAGGAGAGTAAACTAAGCTTACATTGACTTCTCAAAACCTGAAAAGAGGTCTTGGGTGGCTGCCTGTAAAGAACATTCTACATTGTGCAAAACGGTGGATATGAAGGAGGTGTCTGTGGGTTTGGAAGGAGCCCTTCTAGCTGATAGCTGTCAGGCTCTACCTGTGGCACACACTTCTAGGATGCCAGTAATTTCAGTAGTCCAAGGTTAAGACACACCAGCAAGGTCTCTGCATGCCAGTATAGCTGACAGCTTTGGGATGACCCTGTAATTTTGCTGAAAGGGAACCTTTTTTCTTCTTAATTTTGGCTATAGCCTTAGTACACAAGGGCCCTACTCTGCAATCCAAAATGTGGCAGCCCTTCCCATTGCCCTTTAGTGGTGTTCAGGTAAAAGTGAATAAATCCCATTGATATTAAGGAGAGTTTTACCCTGATCAGGACTCCAGGGCCCAATCCAGTGATGGTACAAAACGAAGGATATAAAACAAGGAGAGGGATTACCATGTGATAACAACACAGCAGACATTTGAACTTTCTAGCAAAGGAAGAGGATCAGGTGGAGGCCACCGTCATTATTTTCCCACCTTTCTGATGAAATAACAGGTTGGGTGCTAGTATAACTGTAGAATATATTTCAGCCCGAATTTGCAAAACACGTCAGTTCAAAGTATTTATCAATGAGTCTTTTGAATAATCAATGAGTCTTTTTATATACTTTTTAATAGTCAGTGAGTCTTGTAAATAATTTCTGTAGTAAAAACAAGATGGAAACTTTGTTTCACTTTTATTTTAATCAGACTTTCCTTTTTAAAAGTTACAAGAATACAAGCTTGATGAAGCTAATGCTACTGAGCTGGCCAAACAGAGAAGGATGAAAGCCAGTTATTTTTCCTCAGCAGCACAGCAGGAAACGTGTAACTGCTAAATTTCAGCTCAGAGGTTTATATCTTTACATGTTTACCATGGAAAACTAGATTAGATGAGAATATGTTCTTTCTCAAAGTGAAACAAGATGCCTTTTATCAACGGAACAAGGAGAAAACCTAACTAAATCTCAAAACACAGGACAAGGCATCATTTATACAACAGCAGAAACCTTATTGTGATTGCTCAGATCATCATGTATGAATGTCGAATTTTCTGCCTTGTTCTGTTCCAGAGACTGAAGGCAGCGCTGACTCATCATCCTGCCGCCATGTCGAACGGGAATATGAACACCATGGGCCACATGATGGAAATGATGAGCTCGCGGCAGGACCAGACGCCGCACCACCACATGCACTCACATCCTCATCAGCACCAGACACTGCCACCTCATCACTCATACCCGCATCAGCACCAGCATCCAGCACACCACCCTCATCCTCAGCCTCATCACCAGCAGAATCATCCCCACCACCACTCTCACTCGCACCTTCATGCACACCCGGCACATCACCAGACCTCGCCGCACCCCCCGCTGCACTCGGGCGGACAAGCACAGGTAGAACTTCGTGCCATGTGGCATCGCTGGGTTTTCCTCTTACGCGGAGTTAAAGCCTTATCCCTGTACTGCTTCTTCTTGCACACGTCTTGTTAGATACAAGCCTGTTGGGCTACTCATGAACGTCTGCTACCAGTGGTGGGGAAGTGCAAGCTTTATTCAGAAAACAGAACGAAGCAACAACTTGTTTTGCTGCTTAATTTCCTAAACATTTGTGATATCTTGCTTTATAAGGAGCTCCAAGGTTTTCCAGTGCTCTGAGCTCTGCAACTTGCCACATATCCTTTTATGGATGAGGTTTATTGCAGAGATTAGCATATTATATGTGTTGTTTAATGTGCTTGAACCTGAACTTCTCGGGCCAAAATTTAAAGAGCTGTATGTCTTCTACCTGCAGAAATACATAGCACAATGAAGTAAAATGGCACTGGTGGGTGAGTGGGGGTGTGTTCAAGACTGCAGATGGTAGAGGTAGCTCTAAGGTAAAATATGCTGGCTTAGAGGAGAAGGAGGAAGGATCCAGGCCCTGTGAAGTGGATAGCAGCGCCCAGCTGCAGAGTGTGAGAGAAAGCCAAGATTAGCTGAGAGTGTGGATAACAGCTGGTGGATGTTGGGACAGGAGAAAAAGGTGGTGAAGCCAGTCCAAGGAAAGAGATTTGAACCAGCAATTCTGAATTTGATTCAGATGATGAGAACTCAGTGAAGTTGAATGAGATGGATGCCTTAATTTTTGGACCAGGTATAGTGGCTTCAGCAGTTTGGATAATTCAATATCTGAACTGAATGTTCTTTGAACTAATGAAGTAGTGAGCATGGACTTAAGCAGAGTAATTTTTAAGAGGAGTTCTATTAATGTCTTAAGATGATAGGCTTCTGCATCAGGATCACACAAGAAAAATAAAGCTCTGGGGGCCGTGACTGTAGCATGTCAGGTCTGGGGAGCAACTTTAGGGAGCACAAGGTGGCAGTGCATAGAATGAGAACAAAGGAGAGTGCCAGCCATAAGAAGTTCAATCTGTGAAGCACTGTGTTGCTTGCAAATACCTTTCAGACAAGCTCTTAGAAAACATTAAAGAAAATGAGAGGATTTGGCTGACATCCCAGTGTCCCACAACATTAACTATTTACTAACATCTAGCTTTATTATTGCAGAGCCTGCGAGCACATGGGATTTCCCTAAAGCATTTGCTAATGTAAAATGAATTGTCAGCTTTAGAGAAACAGTCTAAATAAGAGAGCAGCAGATTCCCCTGTGAGAAGATGTCCAGAGCTTTCCTAAGTTTAGTTCAGTTTTTACTTTGTGAATTCAATTATTTTCCCATCTGTTAATGAGTTATTTTCCTTGGAGTTGTTTAAAAACTCCAATAAAAAGACATTACCTTGTAACAGAGAGGCGAAAAGTAACCTGATGGCTGCCTTGGAGATCCATGAAACAGTAAGGATGAAGTTGTGCTTAGCAGACTGAGGACTCTGTGTGTGAGATGGAGGAAGTCACTTAACCTCTCTGAGGCTTTTAAAATAGGACTGACACCTCACCGAGGGGTTGTGAGGATAAACATGTTAATACAGGTGAAGGAGTCAGATCCCACGGTATGGAGGACTGCTGCAAAACATTCATAGTACCACTTTTAACAGGTGAGAAGAAAACAGCTACCAGAGAAAACAGACCTCCTAGTGTTAGGGATAAGAGGGCAAGAGGAGATCAGGGCACCAGGGTAGGTGGGCTGAGTGACAGCCACAAGGCTCTGCCAGATTCAGCCTGTGTCCCAGCACCACATGGTCTCTGGAGCTGGGCCTCTGCAGCCAGATGAGCTTTGCCACGCACAGCGTGTCACTGGAGGCAACAGGCCCCCTCAGGGATCAAGGAGGACTTCACCTTGTCCATAGGTGTAGACGCTACCAAGGTGGGAGTGGAGGGATGGAGGAGGAGTCCTGGGGTCAGTGGCTTCCCTGGGCAGCAGAGCTCTTGCTGTGTGTCTGCTCCTGTCGTGGGAAGGCAATAATGATTTCAGAACAGAGGCACCAGTGGGGAGAAAAGAAGGGTTTGCTGAGTAACAACTACGCAGTTTTTAGTTTCTGTTCTCATCCATAGTCCCCATGGTAAGGGCCTCTTTGAGGGTCAGATTGCTGCATCAGACATTAATTTTATGGTGCATTTTACTAATTATTAACCTCACTATTCTTCTGAGCCAGATTCTTCCATTCCAAACCACCTGCCAAGTGACAGCATGGTCCATGCTGCTGTAAGCCGTATGCTCCCATGCCAAGGCTGTTGTTATTCTACACCACACCCTTCTGTAATATCAGAATTCATTTCATGCTTTTCTGCTACCATTTTGATACACAGGAGCCCAAAGGATTATACTTTCATAGCATGAGAGAATGGGTATTAGTTCTGTGGTAAGTTGCAAAGAACAGAGAGAAGTATTGGATCAAGCAGAAATCATCTTCTGATAAGCATCCTCCTGAGAAAGCGAAATACTTTGTCAAGTTGTAGCTATATTGCCTCAACTACTACAAAAGTTATAATATTATTCTTGTGTTGATCCCATTAAGATTTCTTCATATCAAACTTGCCAGTGATAGCTTAAGCAGAGTAGGGGTTTGGGCATTGTTTCATTCTCTTAGCTGTCCTATGTTTGTCTTCATTATGGATACCTGATTAGCAATCTCTAAAAATAATACTAACCTCAATTTTAATTTATGTTTATTTTCTTTCTTATGTCCCTAGGCAGGGTAGTGAAATCTTGCTAGAGAATGATGCTTAGACAGTAACTAAGATATAGGCTAACAGATTTCAGGGTTAAGAGCTATCTAGTAAGAGTCAGTCAGTTATCCCACGTGACATTATTAGTGATGTAATGGCAGTCTTTACAATTAATATCAACCAGAGATGCAGAGAAGATTTTTTTGTTCTGAAAATATGCTCTGACTGCCCAAGGACTGACTGGTACATTCTGAAAACGAGTCACTAGTTATTCAGGAGAAAATAACCGTATCAGGAGAAAAAGAAAAAAAAAAGAATGGTGTAGTTCCTTTTGTTCTGTCGGTGTGTCAGACCCTACTAAGAGAATTAAGAAACAAGAATTTTTAAAACTCAATGAAAAAGGAGAGAAATAGGATAAGGAAAGCTTTAGATGTTCAGAAACATAAATAAAAGGTCCCTGAAGTCTGGAAGGGTGTTGCGTGGGAGAAAATGGAAAGCTTTCGATGAGATATTGACGTTAAAAGGGATCTCTAAGGCCTCTGCACTCAGACACACTGCTGAAGGGGTCGCATGCCCGGCCCCGGAGGACAGGGAGCAGCTGGTACCCTCAGCAGCCATCTCCGGGTGGCAGCAAGGGGATGCGAGTGGGGATGGGGGCCGCAGCTGGTGGTCCAGCACGGTGCCCGTGGCTGCAACCACTGCAGCTACTGCAGCTCTGGGACTCCAGCCTCTGGTGTTGAGAGAGGGTTGGAGATTTTGCCAATAAACATACGGAGTTAATACAAGATGAAATGTTAAAAATCAGACAGAAAGTGCGGTGTGGCTTATTTATTTTTAGAAAGCTAAGTTTTTAAAACTTTTTTCTGTTCCTGCAAGAGAGATTCCCTGACTGTGCAACATAAAGCTGAGAATAAATTCAGCTTTATGCAAAAAGTGTTATCAGATGGACAGAACAATTACACTTAAAATTGCCACTTTAATTGACACAAGTCAGCTGGGGGAGGGAGCAAACTCCTCTTTGTAGTTTGAGGTGAGATTCTAGACAGAAAAGCAACTTCGCAAGATGATTGTATCATTTTAATTGAGACAGACAGAGGTGTTAGGCAAACACATGGTAATTGCCGCAATTGAAATTCAGGGCTTGGTCTGACAAAGCACTGAGTACATCCACTCCCTGGAGTCAAAAGGAAGCACCTTGGAGGTTTGGGCCTTTGCCAGAACAAGGGGGTTAATTTTTGAGTCAACAATTCAGGTTTCCAGACTGTGCCGGAGCAGCGGCAGCAGCAATATGAGCAGCAGCTCCTGCAGGGCGAGAGCAATGGGACCCGTGGGTTGGGCTCCTGAGCCCCGAGCACAGTCTAGAACCTGGTGGCCTGGGCAGGACAGAAAGCAGCCCAGAATCTGGCTGTTTCCAGGCAGCTGAACGTTAAGCCTGACGCTGGTTCCTGACAGGGACGTGGGCATGTGTTTTGTCTGCCCAGGATTCAGAGCACAGGTTTCTTGGGACTGTCCCGGCCACACGTCTTGTCTGTAATGGCACAGGCCAGTAACTCTCAGGAGAAGGATCAGTACTGTCTCAGAATGTTTGGGGTTGGAAGGGACTTCGAAAGATAATCCAGTCCAACCCCCCTGCCAGAGCAGGATCACCTACAGTCGGTCACACAGGAACGGGTCCAGGTGGGTTTTGAATGTCTCCAGAGAAGGAGACTCCACAACCTCCCTGGGCAGCCTGTGCCAGGGCTCTGTCACCCTCACAGTGGTAAAGTGTGAGAGAGAGATGGGGGAGCCTGTGAAATAAAAATGCCCTAACATTTTGGAGGCTATTGGGAAAAAAAAAGAGAGAGACAGAAATAAGGCCACTCCAGTCTTCTACTTTGATTAAAACAGTTGCTGAGAGAAACTTCACATTTTAGGATTGAAATAGGTGGTGGCAGAGAAAGTACCTAAGTGAATATTTTTAATAAGTAACTGTAAGGGGGAAAATATTTTCCCTACTAATACTAAGAGGATCGTTTCAGAAAAATCTCCCCTTTGACCACGGTAAGGATTTGCCAGCAGCTAATTTCAGTGGCATCTGGCGCAGCCTTTCGCCTTGCGTCTGTCGCAGGCGTCGTCGGGGAACTGGGCGAGCGTGTGAGATTTCCCTTCCCGTTTCAGCGTCCCGCTCTGTAACTTATCCCTCCTCAGCACCCTCTGCCAAACCTCTTCTTCCTCGCCAGGTTTCGCCGGCGGCACAGCAGATGCAGCCTACGCAGACGATACAGCCACCGCAGCCGACTGGAGGTCGCCGGAGGAGGGTGGTGGACGAAGACCCGGATGAGAGGAGGCGGAAATTTCTGGAAAGGAACCGAGCCGCCGCCACGCGCTGCAGACAGAAGAGGAAGGTCTGGGTGATGTCACTGGAAAAGAAAGCAGAAGAGCTCACCCAGACAAACATGCAGCTTCAGGTGTGAGCCACTGTCTGCACCCTTGAGGACACAGAGGGGTTCTTTGTGCTTGGAGGGGCCGGTGGGACCTCGCCGCCTTCAGGGCTGCCCCCGCATGGCCGGCTCCGAGCAGGAGCGCAGGCATAATCAAAGTCGATTAATCAAGATGTGTGTGCTTCAATTAAAGACTTAATTACATGTTAGTGGGATAAGCCAGGAAAAAGCTGTCTTGGGATTTAGAAGCCTTCACTAGATGGAGTTGTATTTATTTTCTTTTCTTGTCACTGCTTTTTGTGGCGATTTTTTTTTTGGGAAGTGCCATTAACTCATCTATAAAAGGCTTCTTCAGATCAGAACATGTAGCTAAACCCTCATTCAAAGCCGGCAAGATAGGAGCGTAAATAGATCAGTCTACCAGTAAGGAAAATGAAATGGATAGTTGAAAATACCCTAAATACTATAATAAAAGCCTTTCTTATAGCACTGCCCTTCTTATGATGGGCACAGTACTTGTGCCCCATCCAGAGGTGTGCCTTTGTGCTGCCAAGAGCGGAAAGGCAATTCATGAAATGGCACTGCCCAAAAACATACTCCTCCAAGACACAGAGGTGTGCGCATCACCCATGTGCTGGCTGTAGGTGACCTGCTGAAGTTGCCAGCAGCCCTGTCACCATGTCCCCAAGCACAGCAGGGCTGCAATTTGTCTGCACAAGTCTGGCCCCCACAGTCCTAATGCAGAGAGACAGGGTATTTCCAGAGTGGATTACAACACTGCCTCTGGTGCTGTGAAGTTAGTTAATTTGTCAGTTTACGTCATCAAATCTGGATGGCAAATTGTCTTCAGAAGAAGTTATAAAATAATGTCATGGGCAAATGTTAACATAAACCCAGCACACGAGCAGTAAATGCCATTTTTGCTCAGTTCTTCCGCAGTTGTGGAGCAGTTTCTGTGTTCTTGGTTTTAAACTTTGCAGAAGAGCCTGGTTTAAGCTTTGTGGCAAACCAAACCCTCTCTTTCTTTTCTAGAATGAGGTTTCCATGCTGAAAAATGAGGTAGCGCAGCTGAAACAGTTATTGTTAACACATAAAGACTGTCCGATAACAGCTATGCAGAAAGAATCACAAGGATATCTAAGTAAGTAGCTGGTATGTTTGCACTGTCTCCACACTCCTCACAGGAAAGCAAAGTTTCCGATTCTTCCCTCCAGAACCCCTTGTCGGTCACATTATCGCTTGAACCTGTCTTCTCAAACATATTCTGAGCCATCCAATCTCCTGTCCTTAATTATCCAGCCCCGCTCAAACCCAAAAAAGTCCTGGTTTGCATCGCACACAGCAGAGCTAGCCTTCCCCACCCCTCCCTTCCGCGCGGAGATGCACACGGATGGACACTCGCTCCCCTGCGGAGGATCCCGCTTGAACTCACAGCTCCAAACCTGCAAGAGTCCTCCTGGCCGCTGCGCTGCCAGCACCCTAAAATAACTCTCAAAAGGAAAGTTAAAAAGGAAATCATTACAGTCCCCTTCAGTGAAAATGGTACCATGGTCTGACAGTGGCACAGACCTGGCGTGGCGCAGGTTTTCGAGGTTTGTTAACTCTCTTTTAACTCTTATGTTTCTTTTTTTTCCCAAAAATTCTCATCTAAAGGAGATGTTGAATCGATTCTGTCTTGTTGATGCATTTTACGAGTGTGGTAATTCAGGGACAAATTCTTTGCTTGTCTCTAGAATGGCTCGGAAGATCCTCAGGGTTAATATTTGCTAGATTGCAGCATTCTCTTAAAATAGAGCCCATTTCTGTGTCCCCTGCATCACTATGCATCTGGCTCTTTAACAGTACTCAAAGAAAAAAATACATAATTGCATTACATGCCTATCAACTGTTGCTTGAATTAGATTTTCTGTGCTGCTGTGCACTGCACTCTAATTTTGATTCCTG